GAGTGATGGGTCATGTTTGTTAAAAACAATAATGATAATTTGGATATCTGTCACGTTTGCGAATATCAGTGAGGTATTTAGCGATTTTATTGCTAAAAATAGTCCAAAGGGATATAAATATTTTTTTTTTTTACTAATCGAGGGAATATTGGATATTGCATAGATTTTTAACTATAAGTATGAAGAATACGAGACAATGTTAGAGATTTGTGTTCAGAGGGCATGGAAAATTTTGGATTCAGTGAAAATGGTCGGTATTATTCAGCTAATGATTTATTTGTCTATTACTTTCCATTTTGCTTACATCCATTCCTACAGGTATCTATTTTTGATATAGATAGTCGAGCTCTCAATACATATGCGTATACATACGTTTACCATATTGTTAACAATGCCTCAACGTTTTTCACTGTAAAAAAAAAAAATGCTCGTGTTTTCCCGGCGCATTTTCGTTGCTATCCCAGAATTTTGCTTTGTTTGCTTTTTTCTGAACTTCTTTACACGCGGAATTTCAACGTTGCTTTAATTTTGCCTCCTCCTATTTATTATTATTATTATTATTGTTATTATTATTATTTTGTCTTATTTTTATTTTTATTTTTATTTTTCATACGTAATATCAAATTCGAAATTAGTTCCAAGTATAATAAAATTTTCTATACCCAATGTAGAATGAGACGTCAAAATTATTTCATTACGATGGTTTACAATTTCTATAGAAAAGAAATAATAATGGCTTGTCATTGTGACAACACATTTTTCGAATACTCTAGAAAAACCTTTTTTCGATACATTATTTGTTACAAATACGATATAAATACGTCAATTAACCGTGTACATATACTCATAGCTTATTGTCAGTTTTTGTAATATCACTTTCCGTGCGATTCAACTTTCATTATCATAATAAAGTGAATTAGGCTTTACAACTGTATTCTATGTATTTGTATTTTTTCAAGTACAAGTACTAATAAGTACTTGTAAGTTATCGTCGCTTAAAATTAATATATTTCTATGTATTTTTCATTTTATTATAAACGTCTATGACGCAGAAATAATAAATGTTTAGCACACAAGTGTTTTTTTTTATGTTAAATTTACTTTTACTAGGTAACAAAAGTGAGAAATAAATGATCAAAAAGGTACGGTATTTCACATACATTATCATTTCATCGTGAATAATTGATCCAATTTTCATGGCAGGTAGCGTTTTTTTCTCACTGCCCCCTCCCCCACCCCCGCTTACCGTCTCGCGCTCTCTACACATGTTGCACACGCATATATGAAACGCGTGCGCGCATCCCTGTCCAGCATTTGGAAAACGTTCTTGCTCACGACAAAATTATCATGTTAGAAAAATGCTTCTCAAAGCGAGCGACCAAGAGAGAGAGGGAGAGAGAGTGAGAGAGAGAGAGAGAGAGAGAGAGAGAGTGAGCGAGAGCGAGCGGCTGGGGCTGGGGCTGGGGTGGGAGGGGAGTATGTGAAAGAAAGGAAATAAAAGAAAGAATTTGTGAAGGGCCGAGAGAGAACAAGTGCTTAGGCCTCGCGTTTAGCTTCATGTGCTCTCGGAAGCTTGGAATTTCAGGGGCTTTCGAGTGCGGAACGTCGGTTACGAACGCGTGTGGGCGAGTTTTGTCGACGTGCACGAAATGCAGGGAGAGAAGGAGTTGGGCGGCGCCATTCTGGCTTACCGGTAATTTCGGAGTATATTACAAAAAAACAAAAAAAAAAAACAAAAAAAAAGGGAAGAAGGGGAGGAGAGAGGAGATAAATCGATCGATGGGTGAAACGAGTGGTTGACGATCCTTTGCCGATTTATAACTGGCAAGCAGTTAAAAGTGCACATTATCCTTTTTACTTATGTACATCTACTCGGTCCTTTCGCTTGATTTTGATAAAAATGACGATGGCACCGTGAAATGATTCATTGCGAGGTAAACGATAAAATAATTTTTTTCTTCTCGATAAAGTTTCTAGGTAGTTTGTAGAATTTTGTGAAATACTTTAAACGAGTATTTTATGATTGAGGTCGAAAGTTATATTTCCAAAGACGATTCACGCATTTTCATCGATATATTCTAGACCTTTGTAAATTATTCCAGAAGTCGGACACATGTTGTTTTTTGTAGATTTTCTCGGCGGATAATGATTAATTTTTCAGCGGTCGAGTCTTTAGATATCGTCGATAGGCCTACGAAATCGTTAAATTAATATTCTTCATTGAGTTTCTTGTAAGAATTTTGATTGCGTAACTTTTTCAGCTAATGCATTATTTAATCCAAGTGTCTCGGATACACGGACGGGCAATTAATTTTAACATCTTGAGAATTTGATTATTTTATTAGTTATAACATTTTCAAAGTGTTGCTTAATGCTGCTTATTGAAAGAAGCAAGTGATATCGAGTTTTATAAAACTTTGACTTTTATATTAAACGAGTATGATTTATTAATATTTATGTTATATTTATTTGTGCGCCTTTCTTACATTAATTCGGAAGTTTAAGCAAGTAGTTTAATTTGAAGATAAAAAAAAAAAAAAGAACAGAATATATTCAAGTTTTAACTGTAGCTTCGCCACTACTTTATCCTCAAAACATCTCCATAGCTAAATAGTTTGTAAAGTTTTATACACTCAATGGCAATGTTAATTTATAATATTTTTGAGGTATATGAAAATTTCATATGCCTATAATGATAAAGCTTACAATGCATTCACGTGGATGTAAAAAATCATAATCAAAAGAATATCAATTAAACATTGAGTAATACGTTTCTGAAAGCTGAAAACATTCGGGTTGATGAATAAGGGGCGGAGGGGGGGATACAACTAAAATCCCCTGACAAACAAATGAATCAGCCCTGTCGACGGGTTTTCCTGCTCGGCGGAAGCAAAAATCGCACAGATTCTTGTGCTCCTGACGTTGATTTGTATTCGCAGTTAAAACACTCACGTGCAAATATAGTTCGCGCGGACGAAGCGGCACGTAACTATTAAATGAAATTTTTATATATACGGGAATAAAGTTTTAATCCGACATTACGCTTAAAGTTTTGTCTCGGGTGTTTACATTAGAGACGCTCTCTACGTAGAGGAGAGTAATTTCTCGCGTTTCGCGATCGAAACAAAGTTTGCGCACTGATACGAACAAGCAGAAGAGCCATAAGGAGGATATGGAATTTTAATAAAGAGACGAGACGTGTATGAAGTATGAAATTAATGTTACGAAGTTTATGTACATTATGCGCGTTTGGTTTATCGTAAAAATTAATTACACTATCGATCGGAATGGAGCTTGTGCGCATTACAATTTTTATGATGAATTTTTTATTTAAAGCTTTTAAAGGATTACGAGTAATGAACGCCGAGTACCTATTATTTAAAAGTGTTTGTTTTTTTTTTCGTTTGAAAATTGAATTCAAATAAAAAGATCAGTTTTGCATTTATAGATTTTATCGAAATAAAACTTGTAGATTTAATGAAAAATTTGCTAATATTTTTTCATCTCCCTATCAATAATTAATATATATATATATATATATATATATTGTTTCTTTTTTAATGGAATAAATTATTTAATTTATTTACAATTCATTTTAGTAAAACGATAGATTACGCTTATAAATGCTGATATTTATTTTTTGGATATGTGAGTTAAATTTGTGGGAACATGATAGTCTTAATTTTTTTAATTGAAACTAATTCCATCGGTAATCCGTGTATTCGGACTTTTACATTATAATCTCTTGTAACAATATATTATGTAATAAAAATATAAACGTCCTGCATTGGAAATTTGTATATTTCACGTAACAATTATATTAATTCAATTATTCAAATTAACTAGTCAATGCAATGCATATTATGAATTTTTTGCGAAAGAAATATATAAATAGACACTCAAAACAAGAAATGCATTAACTCGAGAGAGATATAAGTTTCTTTAGTAATTTATACCTAGCGAATTGTCTCATTCTATTTTGTCAACAGCATACGTATCTATCTTAGCTATCAGAATAGAATAGATTATTATAATTGATATTTCTATATTGAATTGGATTTTATCATTATAAGCAATGTAATAAACACCTTCGGATTCCATTTATCCGTTCATCGTTACTTCTGCCCTATAACGATTAAAATTTCATAAAAAAAGTTAAATATTAAAAATTTAATTTTAAAAATATATGTGACAATGTAAGTTGATACTCGAGAGTATGTCTATATTTATTATAAATGCTCGGCAGCACTTATATTATCTTAATGGGTACGTGATTGACTTTTAAATAAAATAACTAATGTTTCAAAACGATTTCCATCTACTACACATGTATTATAATATCCATCTTTTTTTTTATTATGTGTATATGTATGCTTTTTCTTTTCTTTTCTTTTCTTTAAAGTGTAATACAAAATTAAAAACAACCTACCGACACTTGCCAGCTCTAATAATATATCGAGCCCCATTTCTTTATATTTTCAGAATTAAGCACTAACACTAGTAGAATGTAAGAATAAAGAAAATGTCAAGTTTCAAAAGTTTCGATACATAAATTCTTTTCCATTTATTAAAAATTCGCTCATTTGACTTCATGAGTGAGGAAACGTCCGTTCCGTCGGTGCAACTTATGTTGAATGCACTTATATTTACGCGCTGTGCAACGAGAAATTAATTGGATAGCGAGGTTTGAATGGAGATGCTGCGAAATCCCAAATATATCAGTAGTCGTGCATCGACCTTATAAAGCATTCGACTCTCTTCCCAATTTTTATCTCGTCCCCCGTCTCCCCTTACCGCGATCCAAGCACTCGATGCAATCGAGATTCAAGACCTCACGTCCTCGATGTCTCTCTCAGAGCGCCTGTATGCGTGTATGCACGTGCGAGCCTGTTGTGCGAGGGTGTTGGGCGAGCGTGTTATGTGTGCTGCGTGGGTATGTGTTTGATACGTACAGGAGCGACGCTCAATCACGCTGATTTGCATGTTCTGATTGTTGAAGGCAGGAGGAGTAGCGGAGGCAGCGACACCGGCAGCATCAATAGATCCGAGAAGAGAAGGACGCCAGTCTTGCCGAGGGAAAGTGAGAGCGAGAGGGTGAGAGAGTCCGGGGGCTACGAGAATTGGCTCCGGGCGCTGGTCCGCCGACGCTCGATTGATAAGCCAGCGAGATCGGGACAGAGGGGGTGGTTGTGTTGTGTGTCGTTGTTGTTATTATTATTTTTAGTTTGGTTGTTAACGGTGGTGATACATAAATTCGTCTGATCTTGGTGACAAGTGATCTTAGCGCTCCTCTGCCAGTAAGGCGGAGGGTGATAAGGGCTGCGAGGGGCTCGCGACGCCGCTGCCAACCGCAGGCGTCGTCACCGGGCAGGACGTCCCGAACATTTCGGTGAGTATGTTCTTTGGCTAACAGTTGGCCCACTTTTTAATCGTTCGGACGAAAAACTTTTGTTTTTAATATTCAGGAGCCCGTGGTATGGCGGCTCGAACGCTGAGACAATTTTCATACTTAATAGTCGAGTGGCTATTAAAAGATGCCAACTCCGCCGATAAGACATTTGCCACTAAATAATTAAACGCAATTTTTCTATTAGGAAAGGCTTTAAGTGCGAAATTCTCATTAAGTTCTACTTTGGATAGATCGGGGCGGGTCGCCGCTCGCGACTGAAATAGGCGCGATAAAATATATATTACGATTATAATGAAGTTTAGCAGTATTAGTGTTATATTTGGGGCACAGAGTCTATGCAGTTTAGTTTATAATCGTAATTTGACATCTCACCTTTTTTATATGGCATGTTTCAAACTAAATAATGAAGGGAGCGAGCGACGAATTGAAGGCAAAAATAAATTATAAGCGGCTTTTCTTAGAATATGATAAGCTTAGGTGACGAACATTTTATTTTCAGGCAATTACCGGTATATCGCTATTAATGATTTAGGGAAATGAATAATTAAAGCGCCCGCTGAATTAAGTATTCACTTAATAATTTAATAAGTTGATGAGATTTTACAATACTGTTACAGAACTGACAAGCTCGTGGATAGTTATGCTTTTATAGATACCAAATATTTCTTAAGAAATAAAGCCGAGCCATCTTCAAACTTATCCTAAAATCCTAAAAGGTTTTCACTAACCATTAATAGTCACGACAGCTAGTATAAACGAATAAAATATAATTTACAATATTATATTTCAATTGAGAAGATATTGTACATTTATTGATCGCTTGTTACAAATGCAACAATATGCTACGATTATTATAATTTACTATGATGTTTAGTTTCCTATTTAATGCGAGTGGTTTGTTGGTATTCTTCGGATATCTCGATTTCAATTCATTTTGTTTGGTATTGCGATGTCAAGATTGCTGAACTCGAGCTCAAATATGATATTAGATTAGCAAAAAAAAAATGACAGAAACCGGATGGGATGATACGAGCTTGTAACATGTTATTTTTGAAATAATGGATGCTCGCTATTTGAGCTTTCGCATTATTTTATAAATTAAGCTCTTGACAGATAGTAAATATTTCTTTACTGTTTTGTTAAGTGTAATGATATGGAACGATTGCACGTATTTCATTTCAACGCAAGCGTTTATATTAGATTTTTTTAAATTAAGCACCTTCGTTTATACAAGATATTAGCCATTATTTATTATTTTTGTCAGATCATTTTTGTCAGAAAATTTATTTTTATTGATATTTCAAGGCTTAATTCTCAACGAAATATACTTTATTATCTTTAACGCATATACTAACATTTAATAAATTAGAGATATATACGTTCATCAAGTTAATAATTTAATTTGGGTAAAATTATGCCATGCCGTTATAAGATTTTTGGATAACTCATAGAATAAATATTGCTCTTGAAATATTTTGCTTATTAACATGTTAAACTACTGTGCGAAATTAAATATTTTATAGGAAATGTTAAAACTGCTGTATTCCAACTTCTATAAACGTGCAAAAGTCAATTGGTATTTTCTATTTGAATTTACTTTTCGCGAAATACACGTACATAAGGAAACATAAAACTCATAAACTTCTTCAGATACTTCGAATTTATACATTTTGTTGAAATATTCTTAAACTGGGAGTGATAATAATAACGATAACAATAATAAGAATAATAATAACAACAATAACAATAATAGTAGCAGTAGTAGTAGCAGTAGTAGTAGTAATAATAATAATAATAATAATAATATAACATTATTTAATTAATCTAAAGATCATTAAAATATTCATAAAAATATCAAAAGTGATTTATATACGATAATAATAATGTCAGAATAAATATGTATTTTTGGAAAAAAAACAAGCGTTTTATATATACTTGAATCCATCGTATATGAGCTTTCATATTTCTTTGTCATTTCTTATATCCACGTAATCATTAATTTTTACTCATAAATTATCAAGCGTTGAAATATTTAATTAAAGCAATTTACTAAAATTAACAATTAATGTGTTATTTAAGTTTTCTAGTATCGATTATATTTACAATTTTTATACATAGTCTTACACTAAAGAGGTCATACACTAAATATAATAAAAATGTATAGATAAATTTTTAACTATTATTATTTTATTTCTCGACAAAAAATATTGAACTACATAGCTTGCGGTATGAGGTCGAGTCTATTTGGTGAAACTAAAATATTTATTAGTCATATGATAAAATAACTTTGTTATGCTTTATCATTTTAAGTCGATTATATTCCGTTGATATATCGAAATCATGGAAATCCTCAAATAAAAATGTCGCATCGCTATCGCTTACGGTTATCTTGAAAAATCTACGCACTATTTTTAACATTAGTAATCGGGACTCCGCCTACCATAGTTGGGATCCACAAAAAATCCTAGCTTTTTTACAGAATAGTGTTGACACTGCTTGTCTAGGCTTCGTGAACGAAATAATCGAAATTAAAGTAGTAGTAGAGTGGCAAAGAACATGACGTGACAAGCGAAGGTCAGGTCTTTTCATTCCTCCATTTTTCAGAGGCCTGTTTGCTGACAAAGAATTCAACTCTCTCCAAACTTCTTCGTGGAAATGTTTTCTTGTCCACGTTGAAGTACCATTGAATATGTCTTGCTGCATAATACACTATTATAATGCATTAATATACTTAACGATTTCTTAATAACCCACTAGAATAGATTAACTACACCATATTAACATGATGAAAATCTTAAAAAAAAAAAAAAAAAAAAAAAAAAAAACCATATGTTGATGGAAAATGTTGATTCACTCACCACAGAGGAGTGCTCGAAAATTTCAAGTCTTTCGTATTTTGTGAAAGTGGGAGTGCGAAATACAATAAATTTGAGTTTTCATATACTTATATGGTTCTTTTTCATTTTTTTCTTTCCTTTTTTAATATTTGTACAGATAAATGATAGATTGTCGTTGTTAAATATTCAATGAAAATCCGTATTGAATATTAACAAAATTTATGGATAAAAATGCGTACGATAAGCTATAAATACATTTTTATAGCAAACAATTGCCTCTGAAATATTTCAATAAGTATTTCAGTATTGAATTTGAAAATGGCGTTGGTCGACTCTT